CGGCTGCATTCGGACGGCTCCCTGGTGGTTCATTGTCTGAACCGAGGGGGTTCGATGCGGTCCTTGGCTCTTTGGTGCTGGTCGCTTCGGGTGAATCGTCTGCTATGTCTGGTTTGGCTCTCCTGGCAGTTCACATGCGGGTAGTGTCCAACGTCTTGGCTGACGGCCTGTCTCGTATCGTTCCCCTCTCCACAAAATGGACGGTCGACGCCGACTCCTTCTGTTGGCTTTGCCAGATGTTTGGACGCCATGAGGTGGACCTCTTCGCGTCGGGGTGGTCGCGGCACCTTCCCCTGTATGTGGCGCCTTTTCCCAAATGCGAGGTCGTCGGGGTCGACACCTTTCAGCAGGACTGGTCGAGGTTTAGGTTCCTGTACCTCTTTCCCCTGGTTCAGCGGTTGCTCCAGGTCCTGACTCACTTGGAGACTTACCAGGGGAGAGTTGTCCTCTTGGCCCCTTGGTGCCCAGCCCAGCCGTGGTTTCAGGCGCTGCTAGCTCAGTGTCCGAACCCGGAGGTTTTTCCCCGGCTCCACCTCTTCCAGCAGATTGGATCGGTACGTCACGTGGATGGTTCGATCTTCTCCTCGAGTCTTCGTGTATGGTATTTTTGACATAAGTTTATCATCATATCTATGATGATCAGGTGGCTTCCTTATTAGTGTCCCACCTGCATGCTTCGTCTCGGCGGCAGTATGAAGTTTCCTGGCGTTCCTTCCGATTCTTCTTATGTCTTCGTCATTGTACTTCTCTTTCTGTTAGGGTTATCTTGAGGTTATCTTGAGATGATTTCGGGGCTTTTAGTGTCCCCGCGGCCCGGTCCTCGACCAGGCCTCCACCCCCAGGAAGCAGCCCGTGACAGCTGACTAACTCCCAGGTACCTATTTACTGCTAGGTAACAGGGGCATTCAGGGTGAAAGAAACTTTGCCCATTTGTTTCTGCCTCGTGCGGGAATCGAACCCGCGCCACAGAATTACGAGTCCTGCGCGCTATCCACCAGGCTACAAGGCCCCTGGTGGTGTCCTTTTTCTCTTGGTTGTTCCAGGACCGTCTCCTTTATGCCTAACACTGTCGCCTTGTATTGTGCGGCTCTGGCGGAGCCGCTTCAGCTTCCTTTCGGTATTGATGTCACGTCTGCTTTGTTTCACCTCTGGCCTGCTCATGCGCCACCTGAGCCGTCCTGGTCTTTGAACAGAGTGCTCTCTTTTCTTTCTTCCCCTCGTTTTGTTGTGGCCCCTTCGGTTCCGGATTGTTTTTCGAAGGCTCTTTTTCTGTTGGCATTGGCCTCTGAGGGTAGGGTTGGTGAGCTTCATGCTCTCCTCCGGCACAGAAGTTTCTGCTCCTTCGGTCAGGAAGATCGGTTTGTTTGTTTGCAGCCTTCTCCTTCTTTTCTGGCGAAGAATGAGACTGCTGCTTTCTGGAGGGGTTCCTGGGTTGTTGTTGCTTGGTTGGTTAGGTTTGGTGGTGCATCATGTTTTATGTCCGGTTGCGGCTCTCCGCCGTTATTTGCGCGTCACGGCTTCTGTATCCGTGGATGTGCTTTGGGTTGATCTGGTTTCCCTCTTTCCCTATTCAAGGGTGCGGGTCTCCCAGGTTGTCAGCAGGGTTAGTCAGCATGCGGTCTATCCCCGTGCCCATGACGTCCTCAAGTTCGTGGCTCTTGCCGCCGTCTTTGGGAATATGTCCTGGGCTGAAATTCGGGCGCGGGGATTTTGGCGGTCGAACAGGGTCCTGGTTGCTCGTTACCATGTAAACATTCCTGGACCCGGGTCGGGCCTGGACCTATGTCGCTTTGGGTCGACGGATGCAGCCAGTTGTCTCGACTTCGGGTTGAGGAGTGAGCAGCAACCACCTCTCGGGTAAGTCCCTATTCTTTTTCTCTGTGGGTTGTTAGCTCCGGGGAGCCATAGGGGCTCTCCCCAGAAAACCAGCGTTGAATGTAATGAAACCCCATTTTCTGGGCGAGTCCCCAGAGGGTCCCCGGCATCTCTCCCTCCCTTCAGTCGGCGTTTTTTTCGCGGGTTTTGACATCTAGCCTCAGAACTGGGGTGTGGATCGCCGGTGTGGTGGGTCTGTTGCTACCCCCTTCCCCCTTCCGGGGAGAGGGGAGGTGCCCAGACAGCGGCGCGGCGACAGGTAACATCATACTAGTTTGCTCGTTTTTGTTTGGGGAGTTTTATCCATTCGTTCGTCTTTTGGTTGCAATTTTCACCAGAATAGGGGTTTGTTTTGGGACGCCTACCTTTCTGGGTGCTTAACCCGGTCGATGGCAGACATAGAATGCTTCCAGTCACATGGGGGTTTCTATAGGCCATTGCTCCCCTTGCCTCTCTAGAGGGGGGGCCAGGTTCTGGCTCGTGGTCTCCAGAAGGCCCGTAAGAACTCCATACACATAACTGATGCCAAAGTCTGACATTAGCATATCAGCCTAGTAAGCTCCGGGGAGCCTCCAGAACTCGCCCAGAAAATGGTGTTTCATTACATTTAACGTTGGTTTTTGAGCAAGGGGTTAGTGAAGGGTTATTAGTTCTGCAATGATACAACTTCACTACTGCTTTTAATGTTTATAATTTGGAACAGTGTTTTACGAATTGTGGACTATCCTCCTTCCTCTCTCACTCCTGATACAGCTCTCGTGCCTTGCAGATAACTGGGGAGGAGTTAACTCCGCTGGGTGGCGTCATCAGAAGAGAGGGAGGAAGGGGAAGGTCTGTCAGGCGGATATACAAACATGAGGCAACTCGTTGCAAACCTGTAAAAACTACGTACAAGAACAAGACTCACGTGTGTCATTTATGCCTGCTGGAGTTTGATTACGCTCAGGAGTTTAGGGATCACATAAAGACCCACGGAAGCTACGAGTGTGCAGTGTGTGGAAAAGTGATTGCTAAACAGGGAATGTTAACTCAACATTATGCTAAATTTCATGGACTAAAATTAAACCCAGATACTCATCATGTTTGCTGGATATGTGGAAAAAAGTATAAGTCGAAGCCAGCAGTTACTTATCACATTAATACTGCCCATAATGATGCCAAACTGAAATGTGATGTTTGCGGGAAAAGCTTTGGCCATTCAAAGAACCTAAAGGCCCATGTAAAACGCCACGGGGAGAAAGAAGTAGCTTGCGATAAATGCCCCTCCAGGTTTTATACGACCTCTGAATTGGGATATCATTACAATGCGGTTCACCAAAATGCAAGATGCTGGAAATGTGAAAATTGTGGGAAGGAGTTCAGTCGATCTAGTATTTACCTGAATCATATAGAAAAGCATAAGCCGAAGAGATTCGAATGTACTATTTGTTTCAGAATGTTCCGGCGAAAAGCACATATCGAAGCACACATAAAACAGCATGCCAACTCAGGCTCTGACTCTGATTTAAACCCCAAGGACAAAATAAAGAAGTACTTTCGATGTAATGAATGCGGTGCTTTGTTTGAAAATGAAGATAAGCAAAAGGATCACCACTGTGGTGATCGTGTCAAACTCATTAAGCAGTATGTTTGTGTAGGATGCAATGTTTCTTTCCCTTCCCAGGAGGACTTAAATAACCATGTTTGTGGTCAAAATTCAGCTCATATTTTGGTTCAGTCTGAAACCATTGCCGAAGATGTTCAGATATACACAGAACCAGACAATTTTGAGCCTGGTTCAATTGGTATTAACACCGAAGAGTGGGATGCATGTTATGTTGTACTTGGATGAACAGAAACTTGTTTTTGCTTCATACAGTGTTTACAGTCAATGTTACCCATCATTTAATATGGCTTTCACTGTGCTGCTTTTGTTAAACATGATGCTTTCTTAAATTTAAACATTTGGAAAAAGTACAATACAGTACAGTATGACCATACTGTCAATTGTATGTGCCCTCTGAGTTTTGGAGTGGACAGGCCAGGCCATCTGTATTTAAACATTATACACACTCAGATATAAACAAAATACAATAGCCATCATATGATTATTTAATAAGCCTAAATTATAACTAGTTATAATGAATTAGTTGCAATGTTTCTAAATGTGGTACATACAGTGCACTATATTCATTATTTCTTATATGTACTGTATATGCAGGGCATCAAGGTAGCCTTCTGAAATACAGAGAAAATTTTAATGACTGAATACTGTTTTCACTTTTAAAAAACCATTGAACTTTTAAGTACACAATGAATTCACAAGAACTTCATCGATCTGTGAGAAAATCTTGAAGCCGTACAATAGGATCGAACCTGCATTCCTAAACTCCCAAGGTACGCGCACCATCGTGGTCTTGTCGGTAGTGCATGTGATCGAGGAATTCAGGAATGTGGGGTTCAATCCCAAAATGTAGCTTCAATTTTTCTCTTAAGAAAATCATCATCATAATTAAGACTGTTGTCTTATTAATCATTAAGACTTGTTGTTGTTAAAACATTAAAGTTTGTTTATATATATTGCAAAAAAAAAAATTATTCACTATATAGTTTAGATGTTCAACTAATATATTTTGATTAACTGATTTATTAAAATATGTTTTGTACCGGTAATTGATAAAATATTACTAAAATGGTTACCTCTGATGGCGCCTTGAGCTAAGCAGGCCACTACCACAGGGTGCCACAGAGGGACCCATCAGTAAGAGGAGATTTATTACATTCAGTGCTGGGTTTATTGGCACTGTATGCTAATATTGAAGTACAATATAACACAGGCATGAAAGATTAATAAACAGGTTTTCCATGGTGTTGTCTCTCTTATCCTAATAGACCCTTAATTATTTTGGTGAGAGGAGGATTAAAAAAGCAGTCTTAAAGATGTTTAACCCTTATTCAGCTCCAGTTACTATCTGCAATTTCCTCCTGTGCTCATATTGCCACTTGCAATTGATCCTTATGGGTTTTCAATACTTTTTACTCGTGCGCACCTGGATGTTGGACTTTTAAATAGCTTAGCAGTTTAAGGGTTAAAAATGTTTAAGGATGTGATTTCGCTAGACTGAAAGTCTTGTATTGTCTTTCAGACGTTACAGGTGACCCGTCCCAGGGAACCAGGCAAGAGAGTACCAGTGCTATCAGAGAAGATGCGTCTTAGTCTGGCAGAGTTATCTAGAAAATCTCGAGCTATGCCACAGACAGAGACAGGTAACACTCTAAAGGATTTGGATCCTGAAGGGCATAGCTCAGAGGCACGTGTTAAGAGGCAGTACCGCAAGAGAACACATATCATCCATTTATGTAAGTTCTGCATGAAGGTGTGTCCGACGGGCGAACAATTGAAAGAGCATCAGCGGTCACACGATACAATTGAGTGTCAGTTTTGTGGAAAAGTGTTGGCTCGGATTGGAGCGTGGGAAAACCACCTTAAGGTATTTCATAATGTTGAAATCCAAGTGCCAGGTAATGAAGAGGCACTGAATAGGCCTAAAGAGGAGGTGGATTGTAGTGTATGTGGAAAACAATTTTCATCAAAATCTGCCCTTGCTTACCATTTAAAACTTCACGATGGTAAAAGTTATCAATGTAATCAGTGTAATAAAGTCTTCAGCCATCCAAGTAATTTAAAAACTCATCAGTTGAGACATGAGAAAAAAAAATATTATTGTGATAAATGTGGCAAAAAGTTCCATACAAACTTTGCTCTCTTAATGCATGACAATCAAACTCATCGTATGGCCAAGTCTTGGAAGTGTAAACATTGTGCTAAAGCCTTCACAAGATGTGCTGCCTTTAAGGAACACATACGAATCCACACCGGTGAAAAACCATTTGAATGTCACGTCTGTGGTGTTAAATTTAGAAAAATCCACCACCTGAAGAATCATGCCAAACAGCACGAGCCAAAAACATTCCGTGGTGGACCATTTAAGTGCCAACAGTGTCCAGGGGCTATATTTTTGCACAAGGTGTCGTACGACCGACATCGGAAGTTTAAGCACCCTGAAGTGGAAGTGAATGCACTGATTGGTGGAGAACACAATTTGTTCAGCTCAGATATTGTACTTAAGAGAGAATTCGTGATTGAAAATGAAGGAGACAGGGTAGCCACAAATTATGTGGTTGGAGACCTTGAAAGAGTAGAGGGCATTGAGATGGTGGGCTTGGATGATGGTAACTTTGGTATTGGAGGCCAGGGAGGTCAGTGCATTATTGTCCTATCTGAGGCTACTGAAGATGATGCCAAAAATCAGCAGCTAGAGATATCAAATGATGAACAAGAACCCACAGTTACAATTCAGCCACAGCTCTTGAAGGAAGAGATTGATGATGAAGCAGAAGACTATTACGCAGAGGATGAGGAGTCTGAAGTCCATGAATTTGATGCAGTTCAGCTTGCTTCCTTACAGGAGCACATGCAACTGAGTGAACAAGTGACAGCTGCACAGCTTCAGCAGTTATCTATGGCAACTCTTGAGGGTGGAAAATTTCAAGTGCAGATGGATGGAGAAACTTTTGATGTATACACAGTCAGTCCCTCAGAGTAGACTGTTACCAATTCTCTTAGTTGTTGACTTAAGGGGGGTGACAATGACTCGGGTCTCTTAGCTGCTGTCGTTGAATTAGAAGGCAAGAAGGACCAATGTCCCTTACTTAGTTGTTGCTGATTTAAGATGAGCAACAACAACCCAGGTCCCCTAGTTGTTACTGATTTAGGGTTGATAATGGTGATCCAGATCCCTTAGTTTTGATGCGTATACAGTTGGTGCCTCGTCTAGTCTTATAGCTTTGATGTCATGGGTGTAAGGGTATAACAAACAATCCAGTCATACAGTCCCTGTGTTTTAATGCATATTTTGTGTAGATTATGAAAAGGAAAATAAAGGGCCACATGGAGATTACTTCTCTTAAAGTTAATAATAATATTTAGGTTGGTACATCTAATACTTTCTTGTGTTGTATTTAAGTTGCTGCCCCAAGTTTTTGGGTTGAACCCATTACTGTATTTAGGTTGGAACACTTAATAATTGGGTGGTTGTACCCTTTATTTAGGTTGATAGATTTGATAATTGGGTTATACCCAATATTTAGGATAGTAATCTAATTGGATTGCTGTACCCATTACTGTATTAAGTTGGTGCGGCAAATATTTTTAGCTGTATAAAGAAAATCTTTATTGCAACATAGTGATTTTTGTACATTGGACAAATTTTTGTAAATTTTGTACATTAAATAGATTGTAGGAAAAGTATTATTTTGCATTTGGGTGTGTACCGGTGTGTGTATATATGTACAGTATATACAGTATATGTAAACTGTACATAGTTGTGTTAGTAGCAGTATGTCATTTCTCTCATGACCAGTTTAGGAAGAACTGTGAATAAGTTAATTTTATTTGTAACAAGTCAAGGGAAATAATGCCAGATATTTATGTACTGCATGTGATACACATGGTGATTGTGTAGAGTATGTGCATGGTGAGGAAGAGGGGATAGAATGTGAGCGCCATATGGGAATGGATGCGGAATATATATACTGTATATGTAATTACCTAAGTGTAATTACCTAAGTGTAGTTACAGGATGAGAGCTACGCTCGTGGTGTCCCGTCTTCCCAGCACTCTTTGTCATATAACGCTTTGAAACTACTGACGGTCTTGGCCTCCACCACCTTCTCACTTAACTTATTCCAACCGTCTACCACTCTATTTGCGAAGGTGAATTTTCTTATATTTCTTCGGCATCTGTGTTTAGCTAGTTTAAATCTATGGCCTCTTGTTCTTGAAGTTCCAGGTCTCAGGAAGTCTTCCCTGTCGATTTTATCAATTCCTGTTACTATTTTGTACGTAGTGATCATATCACCTCTTTTTCTTCTGTCTTCTAGTTTTGGCATATTTAATGCTTCTAACCTCTCCTCGTAGCTCTTGCCCTTCAGTTCTGGGAGCCACTTAGTAGCATGTCTTTGCACCTTTTCCAGTTTGTTGATGTGCTTCTTAAGATATGGGCACCACACAACAGCTGCATATTCTAGCTTTGGCCTAACAAAAGTCATGAACAACTTCTTTAGTATATCGCCATCCATGTATTTAAATGCAATTCTGAAGTTAGAAAGCATTGCATAGGCTCCTTGCACAATATTCTTAATGTGGTCCTCAGGTGATAGTTTTCTATCTAGAACCACTCCTAGATCTCTTTCTTTATCAGAATTCTTTAAAGATTTCTCACATAATATATAGGTTGTGTGGGGTCTATGTTCTCCTATTCCACATTCCATAACATGACATTTATTAACATTAAATTCCATTTGCCAAGTGGTGCTCCATATACTTATTTTGTCCAGGTCTTCTTGAAGGGCATGACAATCATCTAAATTTCTTATCCTTCCTATTATCTTAGCATCATCAGCAAACATGTTCATATAATTCTGTATACCAACTGGTAGATCATTTATGTACACAATAAACATCACTGGTGCAAGAACTGAACCCTGTGGTACTCCACTTGTGACATTTCTCCATTCCGATACATTGCCTCTGATTACTGCCCTCATTTTTCTATCAGTCAGAAAATTTTTCATCCATGATAGAAGCTTACCTGTCACCCCTCCAATATTTTCCAGTTTCCAGAACAACCTCTTATGTGGAACTCTGTCGAAAGCCTTTTTTAGGTCCAGATAGATGCAGTCAACCCAGCCATCTCTTTCCTGTAATATCTCTGTGGCCCGATCATAGAAACTGAGTAAATTCGATACACAGGATCTTCCTGATCGAAAACCATACTGTCTGTCTGATATTATATCATTTCTCTCCAGGTGTTCTACCCATTTAGTTTTGATTAGCTTTTCCAATACTTTCACTATTACACTTGTCAATGATACAGGTCTATAATTGAGGGGGTCTTCCCTGCTGCCACTTTTGTAGATTGGAACTATGTTAGCCTGTTTCCACACGTCTGCTACGATTCCTGTACACAGGGATGCCTGAAAGATCAGGTGAAGTGGAATGCTGAGCTCAGATGCACATTCTCTCAGAACCCATGGTGAAACGCCATCTGGGCCAGCTGCTTTGTTCCTCCCGAGCTCCTTTAGCATATTTTCCACTTCATCTCTAGACACCTCTATCCGCTCTATGTTGTTCTCTGGAATTCTTATTGTGTCTGGTTCTCTGAAGATTTCATTTTGTACAAACACACTTTGGAACTTTTCATTTAATGTTTCACACATTTCCTTTTCATTTTCCGTGAATCTGTTTCCCATTTCCAACCTCTGGATATTATCCTTTACCTGCAATTTGTTGTTTATGAATTTGTAGAATAGGCCCGGTTCTGTTTTACATTTATCTGCTATCCCTTTTTCAAAATTTCTTTCTGCCTCTCTCCTTACTGCTGTATAATTGTTTCTCGCATCTTTGTATCGCTGGTATGTTTGGGGGTTTGGCCTCTTCCTATACTGATTCCATTTTTGTGTCTTTTGGTCTCTTGCCCTCTCACAATTTCTGTCGAACCAATCCTGTTTTCTGGTCCTGCATCTCTGTTTTGGTATAAATTTTTTTGTGCCTTTATCATATATTTCACAAAACTTGCCATACATCTCATTCACTTCCTTGCCTAGCATCAAGTCTGTCCAATTATACTCACTAAAAAAATTTCTAAGGTCACCATAATGTCCTCTCCTGAAGTCTGGTTTTTCAACTGCTTCAACCTCCTTATTTTCTTCCAGCTTATAACGCATTGCATACTTTATTCCCAAAAAGACATGGTCACTTTTACCCAAGGGAGGAAGGTACTGAATGTCAAATATCTCTTCCTCCTTCCTGGTAAATATCAAATCTAGCATGGATTGCAAAATCACACATGTGTGTGTGTGTGTGTGTGTGTGTGTGTGTGTGTGTGTGTGTGTGTGTGTGTGTGTGTGTGTGAAGGAAGCGTGACTAAGACTGTGAACACCGTAATGGAGGACGAGAAGACTAGGTGGCAGCTGTTTGTGAAGAGGAGCTGATAGTGTACAAGAACCACTAAACATTAATGTACATTCTGGTCTTGTAAAGCCGTGGGACGATGCCGGGCATAAATTGGTGAAGTGCGGCGGTGCTAGTGTCTCCATGTTGAAGCACATGTACATGGTGTAAGATAAGATGAATGGAGAGCATTACTGTATTTGTTTTTAAATATCTCGGACCACTTTCGTCTATATTACTACTGTTTTTCTTCCTCCTCCTAGACTATTGCCCCTTCCCCCCCCCCCCCTCCACCCACCCCCACTGACATCCCCCACCTTACCTTCCTCCAAGATACCCTGTAACCTTCCCTACTGTACCCCCTACATACCCCTCAAGACACCACCTACCCTCCCACACCTGGACACCCCCCTACATTTTCCCCCAGAAAACCCCACTACCTTCCCCCTCCCCTCTCAAGACTTCCTCTGGAGCTTACCTCACACTAAGACCCCCCCCCCCTCTACATCCCCCAAGATACCTTCCATCTCCCCCATATACCCCCATTCCTTCAAACCCCCAGACACACACCTGGGGGAAGGTGTGGACACACACCTCACTTCCCTCACTAGGGGACACAGGTGGAAACTGAGTGCCCAAATGAGCCACAGAGATACTAGAAAGAACTTTTTTAGAGTCAGAGTGGTTGACAAATTTATTTATTTATTTATTTGTTTATTTATTTATTTATTTATTTATTTATTTATTTATTTATTTATTTATTTATTTATTTATTTATTTATATACAAGAAGGTACATTGGGAGTGTGAGGATACATAGCATAGTAATTACATTCTTGTAAAGCCACTAGTACGCGCAGCATTTCGGGCAGGTCCTTAATCTAAGAAACTTATAAGTAGGTAAATACTTGCAAAATTTATAAAAATGATAAGTTACATAGCATGAAAAAAATAAAAGATGAGAATGGAATGGAATGCATTAGGCAGTGATGTGGTGGAGGCTGACTCCATACACAGTTTCAAGTGTAGATATAATAGAGCCCAGTAGGCTCAGGAACCTGTACACCAGTTGATTGACGGTTGAGAGGTGGGACCAAAGAGCCAGAGCTCAACTCCTGCAAGCACAATTAGGTGAGTACCTTTGTCCCACCATACACCCTCCCTTTCATTCCCTCAAACACCCTCTTTCTTCCCCCAGACACCCTCTTTCTTCCCCCCAGACACCCTCTTTCTTCCCCCAGACACCCTCTTTCTTCCCCCAGACACCTTCTTTCTTCCCCCAGACACCTTCTTTCTTCCCCCAGACACCCTCTTTCTTTCCCCCAGACACCTTCTTTCTTCCCCCAGACACCCTCTTTCTTTCCCCCAGACACCTTCTTTCTTCCCCCAGATACCCTCTTTCTTCCCTCAAACACCCTCTTTCTTCCCACCAGACACCCTCTTTCTTCCCCCCAGACACCCTCTTTCTTCCCCCAGACACCTTCTTTCTTCCCCCAGACACCCTCTTTCTTCCCCCCAGACACCCTCTTTCTTTCCCCCAGACACCCTCTTTCTTCCCCCCCAGACACCCTCTTTCTTTCCCCCAGACACCCTCTTTCTTCCCCCCCCAGACACCCTCTTTCTTCCCCCCAGACACCCTCTTCTTTCCTCCCTCCAGAGACCCCCCACCCCCCATGATGGTACCGTGTTGGTACAGTGTGGTGGCACCAGTTTACCTTGTTGGTACTGTGTGGTGGTACCAGTTTACTGTGAAGGTACAGTGTGGTGGCACCAATTTACCTTGTTGGTACTGTGTGGTGGTACCAGTTTACCTTGTTGATACTGTGTGGTGGCACCAGTTTACCTTGTTAGTACTGTGTGGTGGTACCAGTTTACCATGATGGTACAGTGTAGTGGCACCAGTTTACCATGATGGTACAGTGTAGTGGTACTGTATGTTCCTGATACATCAGATGGGATATGAAAGATTGGGTGCTGCTCATTAGTATCTTTTACCTCGTTTTTTACTCCCTATAATGCATTCTCTTGTGTATGCCGCACGACGCCTCCCGACCCATGCATGCGGGGAACAAAACGGCTCTGCTGATTATTTGTTATGGTTGAGAAGCTAGATAATATGTTTTTGTGTTTGCTTCTTAGCTTTAAATATAGATTGAGGTGTTATCGTATGAAGAAACATATTGCTTTGGTTATTGTTCTATTCCTCTAAAGCTGTATAATATAATAGTTTTGCCAGCATACACATGTCCCATGTTCAATGTCTGCATCTTTTTATTATTCTGTACGATATTGCATTTTTGGCCTTTGAAAGATAATACATTCGCCATTGATTTTATTTCAACGTTATTGCTACTTGTCAGTAAAGTTGGGCCTTGCATTGCCTACCATATTGATGTGGTATGGTACTACTGAATGACTTCTGTCTTTAGGCAATATGCTAACTGCCCTAAGTTGTCTTCGTGAGAGAACTGATGTCATTAGATGGTTCCAAGGATAAATGTCCCTGTGGTTCGATTTCTGACTAGGCCTCCAAGTTGAACCCATTCTCTCAGTTTCCCACGTCATAAAAAATGCAGTGGTTTAGCCGAACCAAAAGTGCCAGAATCTCGGGTACTTGCCTAACCTACTGCAGCCTATATGTATTATTTCCAAGAAGCATCAATTTCCAAGCATTTTTTATTTCCCTAAACC